CATAAAAGTAAGTTGACAATGGCATTCTTTGAAGATTCAGACATAAATCTGATGAGATGGCCAGGACAGAGCCCTGACCTTAACCCCATTGAACATCTGTGGGATGAGCTTGAACGACGCATTAGACAACAGGACCCACCACCAACATCTGAGGAACAACTGGCTGAAATTCTTCAAGAGGAATGGGAGAAAATCCCAAACACTATATTTCAAAATCTAATTTTAAGCATGAAACGTAGAGTAAAAGCAGTTAGACATGTTAAAGGTTATGCAACCAAGTACTAATAAAATTTTATTATATTTTCTTTACAAAACTGTGCTTGAATACTATTCCTCCGCATGGGTTACTAAATTTTTGCCGTATTTTTACATAATAAATGTTATAATTTTATTTCTCAGCAACTAACAATATGCCAATTTTAATTAATATATTAGATATAATATATGTATTAGTATTAAATAAATAATAATAATATAATTCTATATATTTGATGTATTCTATTTTTCCGATATATTTTATTAGATAAAAAACAAAGTAATTACACTTATTACTATGGTTTAGAGTACATATAAAATCTAATGCACCTTTGTTTTCAAGATTATTCATATATAATGCAACGTCGTGATATAAATATCTAGTATAAATGATACGATTTACTCTAAAGTTTCACTAGTACCAGACAAATCAGCAGAGATAACACGGGTGTCTCTTCTGATAAGACAAAGTCGCATTGCAAAGCAATAATATATCTAGAAGGAAAGATTAGCTCCTATGCTCCCATCTTTGTCTCAGTAAGCTGAGAACATCTTTCTGCAAGAACTTTACCTGTACCTGCGTATCAAGCCACTCTTCAGTTTTTATAACTCGCTTTTCGAGTTTATTTAATATTACACGTAAGTCTTTGTCACAAGTAGTTAGTAAACAACAATATAGATTATCCCCCTAAATGGATACTTAAACAATATTAAATTTCTGGACTATGAATTTTTGAAGAATATCTTCTACTTTTTCATTGGATCTTTTTTCTACAATCTCTTCTTGGTTAGCCAATTCGAATATAACTTATATAAATTTTCAAGACTAGTGTATACTTCTTCATTATACCAATCTTTGAAATCTGCCATTCTTTATTATAAGTTTCCTCATTTGGGCGCACTGTTTTGCAACATATCTAACATAATATTCTGGACCTCTTTTTGTTGTAAAGTCTTTAAGATGGTTTACATATGATGCTCCTAATTTATCATATTTTTAGTACCTTGACTTTAATGACTTCAACTAAAGCTAATTCGATAATTTTGTGGTTTACCATTTTGAATATTATACTTATTTCAGGATGACAACGCTCCAGCGCACATAGTGAGGTCAACCAGAACTTGGAAAGAGAATAATTCTATTAATGTTCTTCCCCGGCCTGCTCAAAGTCCTGATTTAAACCCAATCGAAAATTTGTGGGATGAATTAGATAGAAGAGTCAGAGCACATAAGCTGAGACCTAAAAACAAGTGAGAACTGTTTACAGTTATCAAGAATGAGTGGGGAAACATAGAATTAAATAATTTGATCGATAGTATGCCTCGCAGAGTTGCTGCTGTCGTTAAAAATAAAGGAACCCCCACAGAAAACTGATAACGTTTAAAAACTCCATGTTAAGCTGAATTGATGATATAATTCTTATTCACGTTCAATAATCCGAATCTCGATTTGAAAGTTAATCATCTGATCACGGGTGATCAGCGTACTCAGACAAACTGTGGGGAAGGTGATAACTGGCAACTGCACAGCGTTCCGTAGATATAAGAATAGTTACAGCAGCAGTCATTCAATAGAAATTCACCAAATTTATGCGATCGAGGTAACTTGGATGGAGACGACTTTACGGTTAAGCCACCAGAAAGAATTTTGAAGAGATGGATATGAAGCACCAAAGCTACTATTCATATCACAAAATCCTTTGTAAATTACATCTGAGCAGCTCACCTTGCACGTGCTGATAGAAATAGCGTAGATGTGTGCACGGAGATGGCCCTAAAACGGGCGTCCTGCTGGATTCCCGGAATGCTTGCATGCAAAAGAATAACCGGATTCTATGAACATATCAGATAAACCAAAGTATTTAGCTGAAAGATTCTCGGAAGACCGTACAGTTGAATTTGGTGAAAGTTCATTCATCGACTATGTAGAAGACGCTCGTGCTACGAAATGTGCGTATGATGCAAGCTTGCATAAATTTTCTGAATTGGCTTCATATCGATACAAACATTTCTGTCGCTTACTATTACTTCCGATATAAATAAAAATGACAGGTTAATACGAATATCAGTCAAAGTGGGGGAGATACAAAGCAACTTTATAGGGGTCCACTTCAGCTGTGCTTATAAAGGACACACAAGTGGTGGCGTTCGGTGTAATATATTCAAAATCAGATAAGCAATACACATTTGCCTAGGATCTGAGGTAGGGAAGTATTCGTTAATCATCCTATGACGGTTCTACCCTTCACGAGACTACTTCCTTAACTATGCTTTCGAAAAGAACACCATCTAGGCCACTTTTCAATCTCAAATCAACAGATTGAGTTCTCAAGTCAAGTAATAATCACATTGATGCAAAGGTTTGTACATCAGCGCTAAGTTGTCTTATTTGTAACAATCTTCTAAATTGAATCAGAGAAAAAAGTTCACTATGTCCTTGCTAAAAACATATGGGTAAAGCACAATTTCCAGTTACGGATGTCAATTAATGTCTCTAATAATGAAGTGGTAATGTAATAATAGTAAATAATAATAATAATAAATATAAAGACGACAACAAATACTCAACAAACTCGAGAACACAATGTTCAATGAACAATCCCTTTAATCGATTCTATTAAATGAACGCCCTCCTTTGTGAACATCATTCAACTTAGGGTTATTCTTGGCCAGAATATCCTTTCCCATTTTAGCGAAATCAAAATCGCAGTCGTGCTTATCGGGAACTTTATGTAAGTCGCAATAGATATACTCTGCAGAAATCAGAAGTAAATCAGTTGAAATGCAATTTGAAAAGATAACGATTTAATTGGAAGACATCATTACCACAACGGCATTTATTGACAGTCTGTTTAGCAAGTGGAATTTTCGCTCGACACAAGAAACAGCGAGATTTAATGGTTTGAACTGGTCGAGGAGGTGGCGAATCTTGAACTGTGGACTGTGCAGCCGAAACATTCCCAGGTTGATGAATTAATGGTTTTTCTGTCTCGACCGCTTCTCCTGAAACTGCCTGGGTATCAGTCGTATTTATGGAATCAGATGGTTCATTTGTTGATTTCGTCCCGGATATAGTCGGTTCAACTAAGTTCTCGGCTTTATCCACATCGAAATTACCATGAACAAGATAATAAGTTATCTGGCCGTAAAGATGTTAGCACCACAAAAGCGGCTCTAAACTAATCGAGGTTGTTCTATTAAAGTCGTAATTACCTTTTTGCATATTCTTTCCATTTGACTCTTTAAAGCATTTTGAGCACATGTAGTCATAAATACGATTCCTAATTTGACAAAATCCAACAGTTTTTGCATCAAATTGTTAGAATTATACGTAAACTGGATATCGCTTCGACTCAACCGTTTTCATTCTTTTGTAACTGCTTAATTCTAGTATAATATTGTGAAGGATGAAACCCTCGAACACTCGCTCAGAGACAAGATCTGCGCAAAACGCTCCTCGGATGGTTGTATGATTTGACAGTGATTGAGCGCTACCTACAATGTATGCACTCACCCATAGAACCCGCAGCCATTAATGCAAAACTCTTGTGCGTTAGAGGCGTTATTCTCCATTTCCACTGTTGAATGACTGTCTGGGATGATGGGCGGACTTCTGTCCTAAACAAGGAAAAACAGAACAATTATTTTGTGACCACTTCAATACGTAACCACCCAAATTGAATAACTTAGTGCTTACGAAGTTTTTTTAATAGTGAATTTTTGCTTATAGAGTCACGGCGAAAGAACGGAGAAATCGGTGTGCAGGAAACACACAAACTGTTAAAATGGTATTATATTAATAAATGGTTAATATCACCTGACAATAAATAATATTGACGCAAACCACCAGGATTTAGACCAATCAAAACCGT